TATGAATAAGGAGCATTGTAATCATGATAATTATTTCTCCAAGGTTTAGAAGGAGCAGTAAATAAAAATTTAAATGACAAGATAAAAATGGAGACATATGTACAGTGAACAAGGAACTCTCCACTCACTTCCCTCTACTTTATGAACTGAGATGCTGCACATTTTCAGATGTCACTGTTAGCTTACTGCATGCATGAGATTAAAGAGTTTTTGCAGATCCTAACAGCTTCGTTATCTCATAAAAGGGTCATTTCTTCATTTTCTATTTTTAACATTTAGCCCCATGACATTGACTATCTACTTCTATCATTGTAGGATCGTTTATAATCCTCATGATAGCTATGTTTATTCTCTCTGAATGACAGAATGCATAGGTCTTTGTTTATATTCCAAGAGAAAAAATCTTTTTTTTTAATTTGGAGACAACTATTTAACATATCCGGAGAAGATAATGCATGAATTATAGCTAATACTTCTCTTAGCATCATTCACCAATAAAACCCATGCTTATATGGTCAATTCATTTATGAAATAAGGTCCAAGGATAGACAATGGGAAAGGAAAGTCTGTCTATTTACTTATTTATTTATTTAAAAAATTCTCACTGGAGGATATATTTATTGATTTTAGAGAAAAAGGAAGGCAGGGAGGGAAGGGGCAAGGAAGAGAGAGAGAGAGAGAGAGAGAGAGAGAAACATGGAAACATTGATGTGAGAAACATCAATTGCTTCTCTTATCTGCCCCAATAGTCTATTGAACCTGCAACCCAGATGTGTGCCTGACTTGGAATTGAACTCACAAACTTTTTGGTATATGGGACAATGCTCCAACCAACTGAGCCACCTGGCCAGAGCAGACAGAAGTCTCTTTAATAAATGGTGTTGGAAAAAAATGGACAGCCATATGCAAAAGAATAAAACTGAACACTGTCTTATACCATACACAAAAATTAACTCAAAATGGACTAAAGATCTAATCATAATGCCTGAAACCATAAGATTCCTTGAAGAAAACACAAGCAGTAAGCTACTTGACATTGGTCTTAATGAAGATTGTTTTTTTAAAATTTGAAATCAAAAGCAAAGGCAATAGAAGAAAATATCAACAGTGGTACTACATAACTAAGAAAGCATCATCACAACAAAGAAAATCATCAACAAATGAAAAGGCAATACTGAATAGAAAAAAATAGTTGCTAATTATATGTCTGATAAGGGGCTAATATGCAAAATATATAAAAACAGATACAACTCATTACCAAAAAAAGATCTGATTAAAAATAGGCAGAGGATTTGATACATTTCCGAAAGAGACATACAAATACCCAACAGGTCCATGAAAAGTTGCTCAATATCACTAATCATCAGAGAAATGTAAAATAAAACCACAACGAGATATCACTTCACACCTATTTTCAAAAAGACAAGAGAAAACAAGTGTTGATGAGGATGTGAAAAAGAAAGGAACCTTTGTGCACTGTTGGTGAGAATATATATTGGTACAGCTACTTTGGAAAACAATACAGTCATGCATCACTTAAGGACACGTATAAGCTTTTAAAAAATGTGTTGTTAGGCAATTTTGTTGGGCAAACATCATAGAGTGCACTATACAAACTATGCATAGAGTGCATTATACAAACATAGATGATAAAGCCTGCTGCACATCCAGGCTGCATGGCATGGCTTATTGTTCCTAAGCTACAAACCTGTACAGTATGTTACTGTACTGAATACTGTATGTAATTATTTTAAAATGGTAAATATTAGTGTGTCTAAACATATTTAAACTTAGAAAAGGTACAGTGAAAACACGGTATACAAGATAAAAATTCAACGGAGTTTGCAGGACTAGAAGCTGCTCTAAGTGAGTCAGTGAGTGAGCGGTTAGTGAGTGTGAAGGCGTAAGATATTACTGTACACTGCAGTAACTAACACGCAAAACAGCCACAGAAACATAGCTAGAGAGTAGGATGAGAGCTGTTGGGAGGAGAGCTGTGGGGAGAAAGAGTGGAGGGCTTGTACAAGAAGAAAAAAAGAGAAAAAACTCATGGACATTCACAACAGTGTACTGATTGTGAGGGTGGGGTGGAGGTAGGTGAGGAGGGATGGGGGAATAAATGGCGATGGACAGAGGCATGACCTGAGGTGATGAACACACTACAGTGTACATGTGGTATGTTTTAGAATTGTGAACCTGAAACCTGTATAATTTTGTTAACCAGTGTCACCCCAATTAACTAAATAAAAAGGAAAAAAATTAAACACTACACTTTGGCTACACTTAGTTCACAAAACATCATGAGATTAAAGCAAGCACAAGAGAAACGATGCAATCAAGAGACACAGTAAACACAAGATATATGAGGCTGCTGCTAGTGTAACATGGCATACTGTTGTAGAGCAAAGTTGTTTTTTTTTAATAAGAAGAGTACAATCTAAAATAATAACTAGAAGTATTTTGTAAATACATAAACCAGTAACAGAGTTGATTATTATTACCAAGCATCATGAACTGTACCTAATTGTATGTGCTATATTTTTATAGGACTGTCAGCACAGGTTTGTTTACACCATCATCACCACAAACACAAGAGTAAGTCATTGCATTACAATATTACAGTATCCACTGCTGTCATCACTGATAGGAATTTTTCAGCTCCATTATAACTGTATGAGACCACCCTCATATATATGGTCCACTGTTGACTGAAACATCATTATGCACTGCATGATTTTAAAGAGATTACTCAAAAATTTAAAAAAAGAACTACTATATGACCCATCAATTCCACTTCTTGAGTATACATCCAAGGGAAAGAAAATCACTATTTCAACAAAATGCCTGGACCACTATGTTCATAGCAGTATTATTTACAATAGCCAAAATGTGGAAACAAATTCTCTATTGATGAGTGACTAGATCATTAAAATGTGGTTTATATATACCATGGGATATTATTTGGCTATCAAAAGAAGGAAATCTTGTCAGCAACAGCATAGTTGGAACTTCAGAGCATTGTGCCAAGTCAAATAAGCCAGACAGAGAAAGAAAAACACCATATGATTTCACTTATATATGGAATCTTTAAAAAAACACAACAACATAAAAACAAAAACCCAAACTCAGAGATAGAGAGAGAACAGATTAGTACCTGCCAGAGGTGAAAGTAGGGGGTAAGCAAAAATGGATTAAAAAAACATACACACTTCCAGTTATAAAAATAAATAAGTAATGGGGATGTAATGTATAACATGTTTTCTATAGTTAATAATACTATATTGTATATTTGAAAATTGCCAGGAGAGTAGATCTTAAAAATTCTCTTCTCAAGAAAAAGAATATGTAACAGTGCCTGATAATGGATGTTAACTGGGCTTATTGCAGTGATCATTTTGCAAGCTATACACATAACAAATCATTATGTTGTACATCTGACACTAAAACATTATGTTAATTATATCTCAATAAAAAGAAATAATGTAATCCCTTTTCACTCCTTAAAACATTGTTACCAATTAGCCATTAGCTTATATTAATTTTACCTGATAAACAACTAACACTAATTGAACAGTTTCTATCTCCTAGATACTATTCTAATTTTTAAAAATATGTTAACCAATTTAGTTCTTTCAGTAGCCCTGTTCAAATGGGGTAAATAAGTGTAGGTAAATAGTAACTTAATTTCTTCTTATGGTCACACATGTAAGCAGAAATTGTTTTTCAACAGCCTGCTCTCCTGAGCGTGTTACTATGTATTCCCATCTGCATTATTTTTCTAGTTATTAAGTTACTTCACTAGTACATGCTGTTACCATATCTTTCCTGGAGCCATGCAGTAGCCTACAGTCTAACATTTACTGTAGGCTACTCCAGGTCCACATCTATCCAGGTGTTTTATATAAGATGCAATATTGTCAAAATACATCCCTTTAAAATGTTTCCAGCTACTTGTTAGATACAAACCAAGATGCTTAGTAAGACATACAAGATGCTTTGAATATATTTATTTAATTCATTCATTCTTGCAATGCTGACATCTTCAGCATTCTTTCCCATATTTTCTTACCTTACACTTGACCTTCCTATATCTCAATTTAAACATTTAAACATTTAAATTTACTTATCAGTAATACTGACAAGCACATGTTATTTCTAGACTCCACAAAATTGGGCACACTGTTTCTTCCCCCACATATAATTTTCAGGAAAATTCATATTGTTTAAAAATTTCCTTATGTATCACCCTCAACTCAAATCTTTCAGAATACCACTTTGTCCTATCATATAGTGCTTATCTCCTTTATACAATTTCTATTCTTTATACACATTTTCACTATCTACATCATTCATATTTAAATATTCCCTGTCATGTCTAATTTTTCTGTTTGAAGATTATAAACTCTTTGAAGCCAGAACTTCATCTTAGTCTTTGTTGTAGCCTCCCCATCCAAGGGAGTACTTACTAAACAATAGGAAATCCATGATGTATAATCAGACATTATTCACATACATGTGTGTTTTTAAACACACACACAAAGACACAAATGTTTATATTAATAACTGGTTTTTAGAAAGCTTAATCTCTTTCAGCTTTCCCCACACATCGTTAGAGTTTTGAGGCAATGAGAAATGTTTTAATTTTAAGTTAAGATATTTGTCCCTATATGTTATGCATAAAAAACTTAACTGGTACTTTTAAGTCCATAAAATTAGAAAACAACATATATAAAGCATATTGTCTTTCATGTTCTTTCCTGTTATCACATGACAATAATAGATAGTAATCAAAATGTAGGATTGAAAACTCTTCATAGGAAATAAAAAAGAGGTCACACAAAGCTCTGTTTGCCCATGGAAAAAGCCAAAGTGGGAAGGTATTGGGGGAGGAGGGGGTAGAGGACAGCAGTGGCGGGAAAATGGAGACAGATGTATTTGAACAATAAAACAAAAGCTCTGTTTGCTTAAATTCAAATAATACAAAAAAAGGTCACTTACCCAAAGCTTCACTGTAGTAGGAATCCCATGATTCCCAAATATTATTGAACATGTAGTCCTGTAGAGAGTAGGAGATGAAATTTCTTATTCTGTCAGTAAAAGACATCTGGTCAGTGAGTTCTGATAAAATGGCAGGAACATAGGAAGGAGGGTATGGTATCTTCCCACAGTGTTTTTCCACTGTTGATGCTGGAGAAAATCTCAAGGAGTACATAAATGGAATTCCAAGTTTTAAAGCTATTATATCACCACAAGGAAATATTGGATCTGATATCACAACCTCAAATTTGCTTTTCTTCAGCTTTTCCATCTGCTCTTGGTTTTTTAGAATGCCATCACAGATTTCTCTACAGAGCATGTGGAAATCCTTGAAGACTTTGCCAATTTCATGATAGAATCTCCAAATGGTTGAAGGAGATGGTCTATTTTCCAGCCAGATCAAAATAATCTTCCTGATAATTTCTTCAATTCTTTCTTTTCCAAAGCCCACCTTAGATATTTCGAATGTCAGAGATGGAGTATAGGTGGGCTTGATGTAAAGTGAACCGGAGTAAGTTAGAACAGTCACATTATGCTGTTTTCTAATCAGCTCATCTATAATTACCTTAATATTTAGCCAATGACTACCTTCCGTTGGCCAAATCAGAACATTTCCACCAAGAGTGATTCCTAGGAAACTTATCTGAAGAGACAACAGTAGAATGTTTTTCAGCATGATGCGGTTTGATGTAGATTTGATGAGATGTGACACAAATGAATTTCTCTTCAAACAAAAAGGAAAGGCAAAATTATTCTTCAGTTTGATTAAAACCAATGATATCTTTAAGAACTTTCTCCCTATGAAATAATACTTGTCATGATAGCTTCATATTTCTTAATAATTACAAGTTTAGGGGCAACATGTATCTGTCAACATGTTGCTTTAGTTTCAGTTATGATTCTTTTTCTTGTTTCTTTTTAAAATTTTTATTGTAATTTTTGTATCTTTTTCCATTACCAGATTTCTCAGCCCTTTCTTTACATCTCATAATTGTTAAATTTTTGCTATTAGATTGTTTGAAGTCACTGTGTATCTGAACTCTGCACTCAAGCCTGGGAACTGAAACTTCAGATATGACCCAAAATATTGAGATGCTATCTCTGTAGTTAGCTTGGAATGTAGTGATGCTAATTCTATAGGTCTTTCAATATTATTAAATTTTATATAATGTCATTAGCAACAATTATAATTATAGTTACTAATTATTAATAGATAAGATTATTACAAAGAATACTTAAAATGTGAAGTACAAACATAGTATAATGTTTATTGCTACTTTACCTGATAAATCACTGAGAAAAAATTTCAAGTAAATAAATAAATTGTGTACAAGTATATATGCAGGAAATGATGGGTAGCGTTACTAGTGAATAAGTCTTTGAAGAGGATTGCAAAGTCAAGCATGCTTCTGTGAAAAGTGCTGTTCAAAAAGCTAGCTGGCCTGTGTAGACAACAACTACTTTACATCTAGATTCAGCCTTTTACCATTGTTAGCATTTCTTAACTGCTCAGTATATGTCAGGATTTGTACAATATGTTTCACATGTGTTAATATCATTTATTTTGCACTAAAAACTGTTAAACAAATATGGTATTTATTCCCACATCAAAGAAGGAAACATTGGTCAGAGAAGGTGAGTACCTTGCCAAATTCATAGAACAAAATAAGGAAGGAACGGATAGTAGCTGCCTTAAGGTTTTTTGGCCCCAAAGCCTTCTGTACTGAGAATATTGATATAAATTGAGCCATTTCAGAACAGAGCCACCATCCCTTGCACATCTTGTTCCTTAACAGTTGTAATGTTTGAAATGAGCAAAAAAACCTTTGTCCTGAGCCAAATCAAGATTGTCTTCAAAAGAAGTATTTATGAAGTTCACAGAAAAGCAGATCTCCTGATTATAAGGACTGATGACTCTGGACATTCTTAACCAGTGACCAGTATGTACAGCTAAAGAGTAGCTTAGCTTGCCAACATCAATATAAATTCCTTTCTTCTATTCTTCTATTCTCTTTCTCATAAAAACCCCTTTCCTTCACCTCCATAGTTGGGACATATTTGGAATATAACTGTAGATGTCAATGCCCTAACCCATGACATCAGGGGACATAAGCTTACCCCAAATGCAGGCTCCAAAACCTTCCTATGGCAAAGATGTCACCCAGGAAAACTCAGTGGATGGAAGTGAGCTCTGCCCAGAACCTGGGTGCTGAACTGAACATTTGTTTGTTTAAAATTGCTGGTAACAACCCTGTGAGTGGCATTTTGCAGAGTTAACTATGTGTTTACCCCCAGAGTCCCATTGCTTAGTACAGTGCATGTTGCTTGAATGTGAGGTAGTGATCTGCTAAGCTGCTTCCAACTTCACCTTTGAGCTCTGGAAAGCTGCAGTATGTGGGTGAAGAGTCATAGTCTTACAGGGACCCCCAACACTCCATTTAGTTGCTTGCCATCACCATACCCACTGGATTGGTCCACATTTTGCATCCAACTAGGAGTTAGTGAATTTAATTTTTGTTGGGAGCACCTTTCCTGGCTGTGTAGCCCCTCATCACCATAGCCCCCTCCCACAACTCCCCAAGACCATAACCACAAGGTCACCTTCCTGCACTACCTCATGGAAACCCTTCCCCACAGTCTCCTATGCAGGGCACTTGTTTTACAGTATGTGACACCTGGAAGGAGTCCCCCATGTCTCCCATAGTCCCCCATATCTGACCAGGCACCAACACTACACGAACATGACCTACACCTTGTCTAGAAAAGCACATTCCTCATAACCTTGGACCCCATTGTCCAGCCATCTGGAGAAAACCCAAACTTATTCTGGCCCCTTTGAGCACATAGTTAGTGTGCAACATAAACCTAGTACACTGGGGTTATCACACATACCTGGCTTTCCAAATGTGTACTTCTCCCACTTCAACTTCTAAAACCTCTGCCTGTGTGCTCACTGCCAAGTACTGTCTTTCCACTCTTATTTACTTTAGTCTGCCTGGGTTTACCCTTACAAATCACTGAGCAGGGCAGCCAATCCTCTCTTTTTCTGCTCTCTCACATCAAAAGCATGCAATATCCATATCCATTATTTTGGGAGCAGGTGCTAGAGACAGGTGTGTTAACACACGAGGAATGTAGCAACAAATCATTAACGTAAATATGAACCTATCAGCCATCCAGGGCAACATGCCAGGCTATTAAATCAGAGCCTTAATCCTGCAATAATATGATTCTTCAGTTTTGGATAACTATTTAGCTTTGGATTATTTATTTTTCAAGGAAAGGTGTATGTACTTGTAAAGGAAACCATCTGCTGCATGGATATTAAAAATTCTGGACAAGTTCAAACACATATATCAAAAGACAGCTCCATAAGTATAAGTATTACATAATCTTACTCTTAAAACAACATTTGATGTTTTGATCAAATACCTACCTTAACCTTATCCAAGGGCTTTGATTTATTTTATTGCCTGGACCCCCCAAAAAGGAGGTGGGTGATGGCTAAGGAAATGATTTCAAACTGTCATTTGTCTATGGATATTGGTGATTGTTATTTTTTCTTTGCTTAAATATTCCATGTGTCAGGGGACCAAAACCTTGCCACTGGCTTTTAATATCCCTAATGTCCAGACAGTGCCTATGATTTTCCCTAATGATTAGTGTCTAGGCATCATGAAGTCAACTGCAATGAGAAAAACAGCTATTGAGAAAGAGTGACTTTGTTTTTCTGCCTAGGTATTTTACAGTATGACAACCCAACTCATAGTCAGAAAGTGGACATTTAGATAAGGACTTGGGTTTAGGATGACTGCCTTAAATTCTATTTTACTTTTCCTGGGGCACCTTTTAAAATAACCATGGTGAAAGACAAGCACCATATGATCTCACTTACATGTGGAATCTAAAGAACAAAATAAACAGATGAAAAAATAGAGACAGAGGCATGGATACAAGGAACAAATAGACAGATGCCAGAAAGGGTGGTGGGGGTACCTGATGAAGTTAGATAATGGATTGGTTAGCCAAAGAACATGTGTATAATTCATAGACACAGACAACAGTGAGGTGAGGGCCAGAGGGAAGGGAGGTGAGGATGTGCAGGAAGTGGGCAAAGGGGAGGGATAAATTAGAACATCTGAAATACTGTAAACAACAACAACAAATAACCACGTAGAGCCCTCGATGGTGTGGTTCAGTGGATTTAGCACCGACCTGTGAACCAAAGGATCACTGCTTCGATTCCCAGTTAGGGCACATGCCTAGGTTGTGGGCTAGGTCTCTAGTAGAGGGAGACTGAGAGGCAACCAGACATTGATGTTTCTCTCCCTTTCTTTCTCCCTTCTATCCATCCTGTCTAAAAATAAATAAATAAAATCTTTTTAAAAAACCCAAATGACTACTTAGAGTTAAGGTTAGGGGTGGTGGTGGAGTTAGTGACCTCTGCTCCAACGAGCTTATAAGCAATTAAGTACTTGCTACAGTGCTCTCTATCTCCTGCTGGCTAAAAATAAAGTGATGGAAAAAGATATTTCATGCAAATGGTAATGAAAGTAAAAAGGCTAGGTAGCAATACTTAGATCTGATGAAATAGACTTTAAAACAAAGGTTATTATAAGAGACAAAAAGGACACTACATAATGATAAAGGAATAAAACCCTTGTAACATTTATGCACCCAACACAGGAGCACATAAATGTATAAAGTAAACCTTGATGGCCATAAAGAAAGAGATCAATAGTAATACAGTCAGAGTAGGGGAATTAATATTCCATTGACATCAATGAATTGGTCTTCTAGACAAAAATCAACAAGAAAGCTATAGCCTTATATGATACACTAGATCAGATGGATTTAATTGATATCTTCAGAGGATTTTATCCCAAAGCAGCAGAATATACATTCTTTTCCAGTGCACAGGGAATATTTTCTATAATATGTCCATGTTAGAACACAAAAGTCTCAATTAATTTAAGAATTTTGAATCATATCAGGCATCTTTTCCAACCACAAAGGTATAAAACTAGAAATCAATTACAAGAAAAAAATTGAACAAAACACAAACACATGGAGGCTAAATAACATGTTACTAAACAATAAATGGATCAACAGTGAGGTTAAGTAAGACATCAAAAGTTACTCTGAGACAAATGAAAATGAGTGCACAACAACCCAACCCTACAGGACACAGCAAAAGCAGTCCCAAGAAAGATATTCATAGCAATACAGGTCAACCACCTGAAGCAAGGAAAAATCTCAAATGTACAATCTAATGTCACACCAAAAAGAAGTAGAGAAAAAAAAACAAAGTCCAAAGTGAGTAGAAGAAAAAAAATAATAAAGATTAGAGTGGAAATAAATAACATAGAGATTAAAAAATATATATAAAATAGCAATGAAACCAACAGCTGTTTCTTTTAAAGGCTAAACAAGGTTGACAAATCTTTAGTCAAACTAACAGAAAAAAAGAAAAAGAGGGCCCAAATAAATATTATCAGAAAAGAAAAATGAGAAGTAAAAACAGACACCACAGAAGTCAAAGGATGGTAAGAAAACACTACAAACAAACAACTATGTGACAACAAATTGGACAATCTGGAAGAAATAGATAAAATCAGAATGAATAAAAAACCTGAATAGACTGATTATAACTACTACTATTAAAGTAGTAATTAA